TTAAGCGCCAGATTCCATTCCTATATGTCGTCCCCCTCTCAGGCCTGTCAAACAGTTCCTTTGTCTTGATTTTCTTTAGATCTCGATTTTGTGTTCTCACTTTTTTGCTATTTTTGTTTTCCCAGGAAGATTTTCATCGGAGGATTGGCGAAGGATACAACTTACAGTGAGTTTTTGTTTTATTTTAATCATGTATTAGGAACGAGTTTCTGTACCCATGTTTAATTCTGCTGAAATTACCTGTTATTCTTGATGGGTGTTCATTTTTTGAATGGCTAGCTTAGCACCTCTTCTATTGCGGTTCATTGATAATTAAATAAATTCTTGATTTGCTAATTCTGTATATTGATTAAGTGCAATGTTAGCTTAGATTCGGCTGCAGCTGATGTTCTTTTTCATTGTGTTCTTGGAAAAATTAGCTCAATTCAACAAGCATTTTGGTGATTATGGAGAGATAACGGACTCGGTGATCATGAAGGATCGGTATACCGGACAACCAAGAGGTTTTGGGTTTATTACTTATGCTGATCCTTCTGTGGTTGACAAGGTTATCGAAGATACACACGTCATCAATGGAAAACAGGTACGTCTTCTTAATTATTTTGTTTTTCTTCTTCCTGCTAACTGGCTTACACCACATTATATTCTACTGGATTGTTGAATGGCGTAAAATATTTTTGTTTTCCGTGGTCTTATGAGGTTAATTATGAGTCTTTTTCTGTATTTTATTGGATGGTTTATAATTTTCCCTTGTTATTACCCTTCATCCCCTTTTTTCGTGATACAGTTGTAATATGATTGTTGTTGCATGAATTTGTTCTTTATTTATTTTATTTCTGGGATTTACTTTGCTAAATGGAGATAGGTTGAAATCAAGAGAACCATCCCAAAAGGACAAGGTCAATCAAAGGATTTTAAGACTAAGAAGATATTTGTTGGTGGGATTCCATCAACGGTTACTGAAGGTAAGGTTATTGAGTTATATGTTGAAGCGTGTTCTTTATTGGCAGAACCAGTGTTTGTTTCAGCCACTTTTTATTTGTTCTTCTCATATTGATGTAGTTTCTATGTTGTGTTTTAATATGTTTATTACGTATCTTGCTTGTAGATGAGTTAAAACATTTCTTTTCCAAGTTTGGGAAAGTTGTGGAACACCAAATTATACGTGACCATGAAACCAACCGCTCGCGAGGCTTTGGGTTTATAGTTTTTGACGAGGAAGAAGTTGTAGATGAAATTTTATCCAAAGGAAATATGATAGATATGTCTGGTACCCAGGTGAGCTTATATAAACGGACCGCAAGTGAGCAAAGTGTAAACCAAATTGTGTTTCCCATGGGTTTTGCACCATCGTATTTTCCAGTTTTAATAACAATGGACAATTTTCAACCCTTTCACTTTATACAATCGTATCTTTTAAGTATTATGCGATTAGCTGCTTCTTTTTGCTACTAATTTTAGGTTGAGGTTATACAGGTATAGATCTTCTAAGGCAAGGGCTATCAGAATAGTTAAATTGCAGAAGATCTAGGTTAACTAAGTTACTTTGTTGTAGGTGGAGATCAAGAAAGCTGAACCAAAGAAATCCTCAAACCCACCACCTGCTCCTGCATATGGTAGCAATTCTAGGGCTCGTTCATTCAATGATGGCTTTGGTGGATATGGTGGTTCTTATGGGGACTTTGATGCAGGCTTTGGACCTGGTCCCTTTAGGACTGCAGGTGGTCTTGGTGGTAGGATAGGGGGTGGCTATGGTTATGGTAGTGGTGGTGACTTTGGTGGTGGTTATGGAGGTTTTGGAAGCAGTAGCTTAGGTGGCTACCGAGGTGAATCATCCCTCGGTTATTCTAGTCGATTTGGTCCTTACAGTGGTGGGTTTGGTGGGGGTTATGGCACAAGTGGCTTAGGAGGATATGGTCGAGGGGTTGATGGCTATGGGAGCTATGGAGGTTCAGGTTACGGTGGAGGTTATGACTCAGGTCCTGGTGCTAGTTACGGAGGAGCAGGTGGTTTGTATGGAAGGGGAGGCTATAGTGGGAGTAGTCGATACCATCCCTATGCAAGGTAGGATCGTTGCGTAGTCAGTACCGTCCATCTCCTTGGAAGCTAGAACAGAAGTCTCACTCGAACGCTGTCTCGCCTAAGAATTGCCATAGAGTTTTTCAAACACACAGGTTCCTTTAGGTTTGTGGCCCAGTGATAGGCAGTGTTCTCTCACAAATACTAGAGGTCCAAGGATGCTTTGGAAAAAGACGAGAAAGAGTGTATTAGACTTTTTATTGTATGGTTTTAGACACTATTATGTAGACTACACTACTGCAAGCTAGTTTATGCCTAATATGGTTGTCCCCATCTAGTACAATTTCAATGTAGTGTGCTGTGCTGCTCTGCTGTAGGCTTTAGCATACACTTATATTTCTCGGTTATGTTTATTCGTCACGTTAGTTCGATAAACTAGATAGAGAGATTAGATGTATATTATTTCCTAACACGCCCTGGTAGTCTTATACTCTTTATTTTAGTTTACAGAACGTGATAGACACAGGAAGAGTAAAATATAATCCTCCCAGTTCTTACTGATAGTTTTAGGGGACCGAGCGGGAAATGTAGGATGAGGCACATCACGTTTATCGATATGTTGATTAGATAGATAGAGGATTCTTGTTTTGATATTGAGATTAATTCATTATGTTCTTGGCCTTTTGAGTGATCTGCTGAAGCTGTACTGGTGCTTGCCATGGAAGCTATTTCTACAATTATTTTTTTATTTTATTTTATTTTTAATGATTTTAGGGTAAATAATATTGAAGCCAAGTTACCATGCACAATTGAAGTCTCTGTAATTTCTTCATTAATTTTTTTTTATTTTTTTGTAATGAAGTTTATTTGTTAATTAAGTTTATTAGCTATCAAGTTGTGTTTGAGTTTTTTTTTTTTTTTTTTCCTAATTATATTTATATTAGAAAAGCATTATTATATAAATAAATATAAAATTAGATGAGAATGGAAGCATGGAAAGCATTATTTAGGAATCAGGCGTCTTAGTCAAACCATTATATTTTAATGGAAGTGGGAGAATATGGAATAATATTTTATTTCTGTTCATTAATGTAATCTAAAGCTGTTGCACTGCAACATGTTTACTTTTCTTTCGTTTTCAATTTTAATTATATTTCTTTTGTATTTTTATAACTTCTTCCTTTAAATTTTAAATTTTAATTTTAATTTATGGAGCTACTTTTTAAAAATATTGTTAACTACGCTTCAATTTTTTAATTTTTTTAATTTTTTATTAATATTGTTAATTTTTTTTAAATTCAAAAATATATTATTACCATTAGTACATGAGCGAAATTATTAATATGTGTTTGAAAAATTTTCAAGAACTTAATATATTTAATTTTTTTTAAAAAATATTACCGTTGGTATATGAAAGAAATTCTCTCATCTCTCTTAATCATTTCTTAATGAAATTCTTTGATCTATAAAACTACTATTTGGGTGTTGAAATTTCTTATATATATGTTTGGAAATATTGACAAACTAGAGAATATATCATTTTTATTTAAAATTATGATATTTAAGAAATGAAGTTTTAGAAATTGAGGAAAGAAAAATGGAAACTAAAAAAAAAAACGAGAGATAAGAAATATAATTGACAGAAATATCCCAAATTTAATTACGTATATTTATAAAAAAAATATATATATTTAAAAGATTTTATTTGATTCATAAATGTTGGTTTACAAATATTTTTAATTATAAATGGAAATTAAAATGGTAAATTAAGTAAAGAGATTTTGTTAGAAATGATGACGTGGAAATTAGCTGGCCAATGCTTTATGAGTAAACAACATAATTAAATTCCTTATCACCTTCCTTTAAGCTCGATCATTCCTCCATTCATTATGCTTTATTTATATTTCAATTTATTGTACTTTTATTTTTTTTAATAATTATTAATTAATATCATTCACTTACGGTTGAAAATCTCTGTTTGAATAGGGAGGGAGTAAAGAGAAATTCCCTCGTTAGCCAAACAGGTTATGAAATGGATATTATATTCTTTGTCCCTACCCCTATCTCCGACCTTACCTAAATTCTCGTTGGTGATGGAATGAAGTTATATTGTTCGTCCCTACCCCTATTTTCGACCTTACCTAAATTCTCGTTGGTTATGGAATGAACTTATATTATTCGTCCCTACCCCTATCTCTGACCTTACCCAAACTCTTGTTGGTTATGGAATGAACTTATATTATTCGTCCCTACCCCTATCTCTGACCTTACCCAAACTCTTGTTGGTTATGGAATGAACTTATATTATTCGTCCCTACCCCTATCTCTGACCTTACCCAAACTCTTGTTGGTTATGGAATGAACTTATATTATTCGTCCCTACCCCTATCTCTGACCTTACCCAAACTCTTGTTGGTTATGGAATGAAGTTATATTATTCGTCCCTGCCCTTATCTCTGACCTTACCTAAATTCTCGTTGGTTATGGGAGGAAGATTATATTATTCGTCCCTACCCCTGTCTTCGACCTTACCTAAATTCTAGTTGGTTATGGAATGAAGATTATATTTTTTGTCACTACCCTTGTCTCCGACTTTACCTAAATTCTCGTTGGTTATGGAATGAAGATTATATTCTTCATCCCTACTTCTGTCTCCGACCTTACCTAAATTCTCATAAGTTATGGAATGAATATATATTTTTCGTCCCTTCCCCTACCTCCAACTTTACCTAAATTCTCATCTCATCTTCCTTCTGCACGAAACTCGATCCCTGTAAATCCTTTGAGAATCCCAACCTAGAGCGAAAATTGAAATATGAAGAGAGGACGATAACGAAAAATACTTCCATCTTCACCCATAGACATCTCTACTAAGCCGGCCACAAATAAGAACTTAGGACTTGGGGTCCCTATATATATATATATATATAGAGGGCACGTTGTACAGTGTTGGGAAGAAGAGTCCGGAGAAAAAGTAGGGTTTGGTGAAGGCGACAGCATAGAAAAGGGTGGCTTTGGTGAAGGGGACAGCCTAAAAAATGACAGCAAACTTCAGTAACTTACTGCTCCCATGGTGGACTCTATTATGGCTAAAACAATCCATTTCTTCCCTGACTTGCCTCCCTCTCTTTTCCTCTCCCTCCATTATTGCCCTTCTCTATCTCTTCCCCAAACTCCATTTCTCTGCCACTCCCACCTTCCCTGCAAATGGAGCTCGTCCCTTACTCTGACCCATCTTCCAATTCCCTTCCCAATTCCTCCACCCCCCCATGGCAGGACATGTTCAGATCCGCCTCAATTCGAAAACCCAGCCCCGACCCACAAAATCTCCACCAACAATCTTCCAAAACCCCTCCTCAATCCGATTCCAATCCCTCCTTTTCCGGCGACCCTCAAGTCCGCCTTGCACTTTACATCGCCATGGCTCACGCCGGCCTTGCCTTCACCATTCTCACTCTCTACGCCGTCGGCCGTCTCCTCGAAGCCTATCTCCGCCCCCTTCAATGGGCCGTCCTCTGTTCTATCCCTCTTCGCGGCATTCAACAAACCCTAGAAGGGTTTTGGTCCAAACCCCTTAACTTAGGCCTCACGGAAACTCTTCTCGCTATCCCCGTTGCGGTTTTTCAGGTTTTTGTTGGAACCCTTGTTGAATTTCGTGAAGTTTGTTTCCGGGTTGTGCTTAGAAGGAAGAAATCTGAGATTTCTAAACGAAATCAAAGTGTGTTCTCTAAGTTATTGCGATGGCTTGTATCGTTTTGGATTTTTATACTTGCTTATGAGAACTTCGGTGTTATTGCATCTTGTTCGCTTCTTGGATTAGGTTTTTTGTTTAGTTCTAAGTCTGTGGATTCAACTATGTCCTCTGTTTCTTCGTTTCGTAGCATGAGCTTTCGTCGTACTGCTGTTAGTGCGTTCTTCACCAAAGGGGTTTTGAAACGATTGAAAACCATTGTAGCAATTGGTTTGATTGTCGCTATGGTTGTTGTGTTCTTGGCTGGATTATTGTTTTTCTCTTACAAAATTGGTGTTGAAGGGAAAGAAGCTATGATTTCATTGAAACTTCACGTGGAAGAGAACAATTATGCTGAAAGGATCGGAGTTAAGAAATGGATAGAAGAGAATGATATTCCTGGGATGATTGATGGCTACACGACCAAGTTTTATGAAGCAGTGTCGGAGCAGATAGATAGCTTAGCTATGCAGTATAACATGACAGAGTTTGTCACTGGGATTAAGCATTTAGCTTTAGCATCGTCTCGTGCTAACTCGTCGGGGCCTTCCACCTCTCTAATCGCTCCATCGCCGTATACGCAGAAGCTTATGAGCTTGAGAAATCGGATCCATAACCAGGAATGGGGTCAGATTTATACAGAACTGGATACAATTATTAGGGAGTTGATAATCACTAGGGAGGATTTAGTTGTGAAAGCGAAAGGATTAGCTGTTCAAGGGATGGATATTTCGCAACGAGTCGTTGCTAGTAGTGTATCGGTAGTAGGAGGTGGTGCGAAGTTCATGGTTTCGATTGGGAGTTCTATTATTTCTGGAGCGGCTGAAGTTTTGAACTTCGTCTCGCAATCAATGGTGTTCATTTGGGTTCTGTATTATCTTATCACTTCTGAATCTGGTGGTGTGACTGAACAAATAATGTATATGCTTCCTATCGAAGATTCAGCTCGCATTCGATGCGTTGAAGTTCTTGATAACGCGATCTCGGGCGTTCTTTTGGCTACAGCAGAGATTGCTATCTATCAAGGATGTCTTACATGGCTGTTGCTTAGACTATTTGAAATACATTTCTTGTATATGTCTACTGTTCTTGCATTTCTCAGTCCACTTTTCCCAATTTTTCCTTCATGGTTTGCAACAATTCCAGCAGCCTTGCAGCTTCTGCTGGAAGGTCGGTATGTCGTAGCCGTCGGTTTGTCCGTTATTCACCTTGCGCTTATGGATTACGGCGCGTCGGAAATCCAAGAGGACATACCTGGTCACAGTGAATACCTTATGGGGCTTAGCATCATTGGTGGAATGACTTTGTTTTCATCTGCATTGGAGGTACACTTTCTTTCCCTTTCTAGACTTTGAAATCACTTGTAATGTCCCACGTTGGTCGGGGAGGAGAACAAAATATCCTTTATAAGGGTGTGAAAACCTTCCTAGCAGACGCGTTTTAAAGCCTTGAGGGGAAGCCCGAAAGGGAAAGCCCAAGGAGGACAATATCTGCTAGCGGTGGTCTGGGCCATTACAAATGGTATCAGAGCCCGACACCAGATGATGTGCGAGCTTTCTCGCTGTTCCCCGAATGGGGTAGACACGAGGTGGTGTGCTAGTAAGAACACTGGGCCCCAAAGGGGGTGGATTTGGTGGGGGTCCCACATCAATTAGAGAAAGGAACGAGTGCCAGCGAGGACGCTGGGCCTCGAATGGGGTGGATTATGATGTCCCACATTGGTTGGGGAGGAGAACAAAACACCTTCTATAAGGGGGTGTGAAAACCTTCCCTAGCAAACGCGTTTTAAAGCGTTGAGGGGAAGCCCGAAAGGGAAAGCCCAAAGAGGACGATATCTGCTAGCGGTGGTCTGGGCCGTTACATCACTAGAGCTTATAAACAGTTTACGAGTTTGATGATTTAATATCTAAACTAGCTTTGTGAGATCCCACATCGGTTGGAGAGGGGATCGAAGCATTGCTTATAAGGGTGTGGAAACTTCTACCTAGTATGCGCATTTTAAAACCTTGAGGGGAAGCCGAGAAGGGAAAGCCCAAAGAGGGATTCTTCGCACCCTCACCCTCTATCTTCTTTAAACACATATCACCTTCTTCCACTTACCTGTGAAGCTCCCAATTGCAGAAGCATATAGGACTAACGTCATTTACTCATGCTCCTCCGTTGTCTTGGGATATTGTCCTTTTGACAATTTAACATGATTTGCCAAAAGGGTAGTCCGAGTTTAGCATTATTCCTCCTAAATTTAAACACCACCTTCTCAACGTACTGCTCTTAGGACATGTTTGATGTGACAACAAATCTATCTTGAGAAATCCTAATCCCAAGAATTTTCTTGGGTGCACCCAAATCTTTCATCTCAAATACTAAAGACATAGTTGCCTTTAGATAGTTCATCTCCCTCGTATTGAATCCTGTAATCAATATATATCATCCATGTACAAGAGTAGAAACAGTAACAACACCGATCATTTTCACTCTGAAAATCAACCACTCTAGCTCACGAAGGAGTGAAACGTCTTGTACCATTATCTCAGTGCTCATTTCAGTCCATACAAGCTCCTATTGAGTTTGCACACCGTGTGTTCTTTGCCTAAAACTACTAACCCTGATCTATCTTAGAAACTGGATAAAATTCTATCTTTGCATGCTTCCATTTGATTTTTCCTTTTTGCGGGCTCGTGGCCTCGCCTGAATGATCTCTTACTCATACTCACAGGGTGCGATTATGGGACCGTTGATTACAACCGTCGTGATCGCCCTTAAGGATTTGTACGTAGAATTTGTTTTGGGTGGAAATAAGAGAAAAGAGAAAGAGAAAGAAAAGGAAAAGTGCAACTAGACAGCATACTTATTTTTGTTTCTAAATTATGGTGAGCTACTCTTATCAAGCTTGTGATACTCATCCATTTCCACAGCTGCAACAGAAACTGCCCATTGAATTGTAATAAATTTGTAAGTTATGTTCCTTTGATCATACTGCCTCAGCTGTAAAATCATTTTGTTTTTAGAGAGAAATATATCACTGTGTTCATGATGTTGGTCGTCGGGTTGAGTTGGGATGTGTTCGTCGTCTTTCCTGTCTTGTCAACAGAACAGAATAAAGCTTTTGCATCGTCCTGTAAAGAACATCGGGTGTTCGGCATTAAGATTGGGAGTTGATGATGGAACCTGTAAAGTTTACAGAGCTGATTAGTTCTTGCTGTTTATGTAATTTGAATTGTTGAATTCATATGTTAGATTGATGTTGAACTGTTTTTGTTTTCCCATGTCTGCTTAGAGTGAGTTTGGTATCATTTTAGAACATTGGAAACTACCTGTTATCAATGAATATCTGGTTACATAACAAAAGTGCTCGTGTTGGATTGAGTCGGGTTAAGATTAGCTCGTGTTTGTACCGTCAGTATAGCTTCGATTATTATTTTTTTACGTTACCCAATTTGCATCACAAAAAACTGATGTCGACGTAGCTATGCCGATGCATTTTTTCGAACCCATACTATGATTTTCAAATGTAAATTACTCTAAAACGGAGATAATTCACATTGTCATAGAAGATATGAGGTACAAAATTTTAAGTGGATGAGATCGTCGAATAGTCTTAGTTGGAGATTGGAATGTACTGTAGGTTCATGTGGTCGACGGGTAAATTTCTACCGTTCGATTAGACCCTTCAGTTTATAGACCGCTGCTAGGAGGCAAATGAGTCACTTGTTTAGTCTTGCAGTGCACTCACTACTCCAGCTCGACTCGAGACACTACAAACTATTCTTGGGTTGACACATACCCAATTCCCTAAAACCCCTAAAAAAACATCCGTGTAAGACACCACGAACTATTCTTAAATTGACACATATCCAATCATAACAACAGTGTAAATGAAATAACTCTATAATGCTCAAACTCGAGGACGTAAACTTCGCTAATTTTCTTTATTTTCAACATTTTTAGAATTTCACGAGCCTTATAAGCTAAATTTCAAAGAGGTGTAGAAAAAAAAAAAAAAAAAAAAAAAAAA